GTTATTATTATTAGATATTCCATGTTTATTGCTTGCCTTGCGACCATTCACAGTTATGATGGTAATTAAAAAAGTAACTTTACAACCCATCCTTGCATTTTTGACTTCATGGTCTATTAAGCAAAGGAAATCTGAAGATCATAAGAGCAGTTCGCTTAACAATTGAGTTGCTGTTCCCAATTGGGGTTGCTAAATGAAGACTATTTATTATGATCATGCTGTCTTTCAGAAACATTTGCTATGGTACCACCAGTTCTCCCAGAAATCCGAAGTAGGAAAGGAGCTGCCTTTTCTGCCATAGCACCACCATATGGAACATTCTTCCTCCAAATATTAGGATGGCCACAAACTCATTGCACCCAGAGAGAGAAAAAAATATCTGCTGCTATCTAGGATTGAACTCACAGCCTCCTGATAGTGAGGCGAGAGCTCCACCTCTAGGCCATCATGCTGCTCATATACAAATTGAATAAATAATAAAAAAAATGATTGAAATGTTATTGCTATCCTGTCAGTTTATGTCTGGTCTGTACATAAATGCAAGTAATCCATATACAGTATATATAAGACTCCAGTATACAATAATGAGAGAATACTAATTGGCATGGAGTGATCTAGAACAGTGGTTCTCAACCTGTGGGTCGGGACCCCATTTGGGGTCGATCAACCATTTCATGGGGGTCGCCAAGCAAGGCTGTCCGCCATTTTTTTTGTCCGCCATTTTTTCCCCTTTTCCGGCGGGTGCCTCACCTCCCTTGGGCTGGGCCAGCTGGTGGTTGGCCTGCTCCGTCTCTGCTGCTTGCCAGCTACGCCTCGGCCGGCGCAGGGGGCGGAACCACGCATGCGCGGTGCTCCCGGGCAGGGAAAGTCCTCGACTTACGACCGGTTGGGTAGTCCTCGACTTACGACTGGTTTAGTCCTTGACTTACGACTGGTTTAGTCCTCGACTTACAACCGGTTTAGTCCTCGACTTACGACTGGTTTAATCCTCGACTTACGACCGGTTGGGGTCGCGGCATTAAAAAGGTTGAGAACCACTGATCTAGAAGTTCACACCCTGCCATGAAGTTTTGGCCATAGTTGCTTGGACACCAAGCCCAAGGGAGGATTAGGCCTGTTCTGCACCAGCTCATGGCTGCCACTTCAAGTACATATATTACTACAGCCATTTCTTCACAACTGATTCAGATGAACAACCTTTTCCACTAGGAAAAAAACAAACAAAACCCCTCTGAGATCCTACTGAATTCTGTAAACTATCAGTTCTGTCTTGTGTAAACCCCTTCCCAGGCCTGCCATTCCCCTTGAAGAACATAGAAATTGAAGGGAGTCACCAAGGAACTTGAAAGGAGAAATCTCACCTGCCATGATTGTACTGTCCAGGGTATCAAATGGTCTCTGATCTTCCTCTGGCTTAGCTGGAAGGATGAGGCAGCACTGAGGACCTGCAATAAAGCCTGGATTGCAATGGGAATACTGTAGGCATCTTCAGACAGGAACTTTGCAACAACCTCTTTGGGCGGAATATCCCAGCTCTCTCTTTCTATACATCTTTTCCAAACTTTCTTAGACCACACAGGGCTTGAATGTGAACACTGAAATGGTGTTGCCCCATATTCCACAACACTAGAGAAATACAATATAAAATCATAATGTGACGTTCTTTTCTTTGCCTGAGTTAAGAAGGATAACAAAACATGTTTATGTTCAAGATCAGCCCAATGGTAGAACACTCTCACACTTCTGTCTGGCAAAGTTGTTACAATCCACACTTTTCCTGAAAATTCTTTGTTTCTCGTGTCAGCTGCATGTAGGTAAACTGCTAGCGTCATTGTTGCTTGAAAGTCCAATTGACAAACAATTATTTTTACCTCATTCTTTTTAAGACTAAATAGATGAAAACTTTTTTTTCCCAAAGCAACACTGGGATGCTTTCTGAGAACACAACGCAAATGCCTTTCGCTGCAGCTACAGGTGCAAAGGTTCTTCTGAATGTTTGTCCATTTTCATTGTCTGGAGCAAGGATGCTGATCCACGTCCATCGGAAATGCAGGAGCAATTTCACAATTGCCAAGTAAGGAGGTTCTTGTTTTGGAGTCATTCGATAGAAAAAAGGAAAATGAAGCTTCTGCTCAGGGATGTGAGTGTTAACACCATAGTTGATCTAATAAGAACAGAAAAGATCGGTGCGTTGTTTTATTTTTAGGGAAAATAAAGGGCCCATTCTCATTGCTGAGACTGTTCCAAAATCTCTGCATCCTCCTTCTACTTGTATTTTCCACCTTCCTCCTTATACAAAAAGAAGCAATGGTATTCTGGAGAAAATCTAAAAAATATCTACCTTATCTTCTATCCTTCTCCCTAATAAGTTGTGAGAAAAAAACATCTTTTCTTTAAGATCTTTATTTGATCTCTGTGCTATGTCTCTCTCTCTCTCTCTCTCTCTCTCTCTCACACACACACACACACACACACACACACGAGCAACAAAGATGATTAGGTGACTGGAGGCTAAAACATATAAGGAACGGTTGCTGGAACTGGGTATGTCTAGTTTAATGAAGAGAAGGATGAGGGGGGACATAATAGCAGTGTTCCAATATCTCAGGGGCTGCCACAAAGAAGAGGGAGTCAAGCTATTCTCCAAGGCGCCTGAAGGCAGAACAAGAAGCAATGGATGGAAACTAATCAAGGAGAGAAGCAACCTAGAACTAAGGAGAAACTTCCTGACAGTTAGAACAATTAACCAGTGGAACAACCTGCCTCCAGAAGCGGTGAATGCTCCAACACTGGATGTTTTTAAGAAGAGACTGGACAGCCATTTGTCCAAAATGGTGCGCGCACACACACACACACACACACACACACACACACACACACACACACGAGATTCATTTAATAATCAATAAGTTTGTTGTTCTTCCACCTATATCTTCATCTTTTCTCTTCTTCTTCTTCTCTTCTTCTTTTTTTTTTCTTACACTTTTCTGTCTCTTTCTTGACTTTTAGGAACTCCTAATCATACTTCATGGGTTTGGTTAAAGCTTAAAATATTGCAGCTTATAATGTTACTCTTTGCTTTCTATCCACTAATTAAAAATATATAGCCACTCCCATCATCATTTGTCTTTTTTCTACTTTCTGATTGGCCACCCAGAGAGAAATGGGCTATGCTGTTTTTACTACTTATACTGATTGGTGGATGTCCCCCCCCAAACTAGCTGATGACATATTGAGAGGGGAGAAAAACAAAGCTAGAAGACTAAACAAATCACTTTTTTAATCCCATATTGTTCATGCTTAATCCTGAGAATCCACCAAGGATGTGACTTGAAAGGAGTACAGTAGATCAAGAATAGTTCTGGTGAACCAGGACATCAAATTTAAGGCCGATATAATTTTCTGCCTACTCTGGGCAATGAGGAGAGATTTTAGTTCAATGCTGGGCAAAGATTTTGTTTTCTATCGTGTTTTGAAGCTGGCTGATGGTTTTCCTGATACCTCTGCAGCAATAAGAGCCAGGAAATGAGACCAAGTCAGCAACACAGGAGAGGTAATAAACAGAATTGCTCAAGCATCCAATTCAGAATGTCTGAAGATGAAAAATCTTATGACATAGACATTGATCCCCATGGACAGAAACACCCATGCTCTGCAGCTTGAAACATTGCCATGATTTTCTGAACATGCATTTTTCCTGGTGCCCTCACTAAATTAAGATTTCTTTTGAATTCTTTCTTTTGGAACTAATGCAAATTCACAGGTGTGTCTCCTGACCTGCAGACTGCAAAATGCCGCAGTAGAAGCGATGCAGAGGATTATAAGACTTGGTTCCAATATCTCAGGGGCTGCCATAAAGAAGAGGGAGTCAAGCTATTCTCCAAAGCGCCTAAAGGCAGAACAAGAAGCAACGGATGGAAACCGAGCAAAGAGAGAAGCAACCTAGAACTAAGGAGAAACTTCCTCACAGTTAGAACAATTAACCAGTGGAACAACCTGCCTCCAGAAGCGGTGAATGCTCCAACACTGGAAGTTTCTAAGAAGAGACTGGACAGCCATTTGTCCGAAATGGTGTAGGGTTTCCTGCCTGAGCAGGGGGTTGGACTCGATGACCTCCAAGGTCCCTTCCAACTTTATCATCATCATCATCATCATCATCATCATCATCATCATCATCATCATCATCATCATTATTATTATTATTATTATTATTATTATTATTATTATTATTATTATTATTATTATTATTATTATTATTATTATTATCTAATGGGGAAGGTTTGTCTATGTTCCCAGTTGGTAGTTATTTCTTAGTGTTTTTGGTCCTGATGCAGTTCAATAGCAGAAAAAAAAAAATCTTTGAAGCTAAGTTGTGATTTATTTATTTTTTAAAAAAAAACATGTTATACATAGTTGCCAGGGATCTGAAAGAAACATGTGAAGATATGATGGGAAGAATAGTATTATAAGTCTCTTAATATCTACTGTCTTCCTCCAGATTTACTTGGTGATCTATCCTCTGAGCTAACAAGGAAAAATGTACGGCATGAATGTGGGTTCATTTTACATTCCTACCTGGGGGATTTTGTAGATGCCCAGCATGGTTGATACATGATTAAAGAGCTCAGAATCAGTCCCTTCAAACACAGCTACCAGATTTTTTTGTCTTCCGCAACTATAGTTTGGGACACTGTCCTTTCCTGTAGAGAGCAAGTCCATCATGGCCTCGTATGTCATTCTTGCATTGAAAAAGTTCTCATAGATGTTATAGCCCAGGGTCATGTTATGTAAGAGTTTTGGGCTCTTGTTGATCTCATGAATGGCAAACAAGAAGGGCAGAACTTGCCAGTAGCTCATGTATTCCAAACTGCAATGATAAGTTCTGCTGTTAGACATTTATTGTACCATTAAAAACAGCGAATCATCATCATAGAATTCTTAGAGCTTACTATTAAAAGCTCAATTGCTTTGATACCAATAAGAGCTTTTTCCCAAAACAATTAACAAAAAGAACTGCTCTGTATGTCAGACTCAAAATGCTCCTACTAAAAGGTCCAAAGCTGATCCAATTTTTTTCTCAGAAGTGTGACTCAAGGAGGTAATTTGGAAAACAAAATTAATGCAATTATAAGAACTGGTAAAAGACAAGTGAAAGTAGGAAAGTTTCTTGGCAACTGTTAATTTTATTTTTGAAAGCCAACCACTCCCCGTAGTACAAATGAGTCTTCGTATGTTTATACTTCCTATTGCATTAGCCAGGAGGTGACTGATGGCTTGGTTCAAATAGTGTCAAATTTAATCTGAGTGGGTGGTCTCTCTTGACAAGTGGTCTTCTACCCAAGAACCATCTTCAGTTCCAGCAGTAATTCTGTGGCACAATAACTATTCATAAATGTTAGAGAAAACAGTAGCTTACCTCTTACTGTGACACATTTAAGGTGGTTTTCTGCAAAGGCTTAATTTGCTTATTTATTTAACTCATTTCCACAGTTTCTTCAATCCCCGAACCATTAGAAAAGAAAACATACGGAATGGGATTGCACAACAATTGACACAAAGAGGGAGGCAGAGAGAAAGAAGGAAGGAAGGAAGGAAGGAAGGAAGGAAGGAGGGAGGGAGGGAGGGAGGGAGGAAGGAAGGAAGGAAGGAAGGAAGGAAGGAAGGAAGGAAGGAAGGAAGGAAGGAAGGAGAGCAATATATTGAGGAGACATAGGGAGGGCAGTCTCACTGGTTTGTTTTCTGATAAAATGGTAAAATGAAATTTGCTGACTCTGTAGGCAGTGTTCTCAATCGTAGCAATTTTTAAGTGTAGATTTCAGCTCCCAGAATTCCCCAGCCAGCACAACTCTATTTCAGGTTATCACAGTAATCATTTTGTGAACAAGCAAGACCCTATTCACCTAATAATCATTTTGTGAGAATGTTAACAAAGCCCCCCCAATGTTAATTCTAATCTTTACTGAAGAACTTAAAAAAACCCACCCATATTGCAGCTTTTAAAAATGTATGTTGGGCCCTCTAAGCCTTTTTCTTAGGGCAAATTGGGATTAAAATAAACATGCTTGAAAGAAGCTAGAGATTGGGAAACGGGAATCAATTCCTACTAAATGTCTATGGAGATTCTCAATCATCCAGGTCATGGTTGTCCCAAAGGTGCTTTTTCAAAAGCTAACTAGATTTTCAGTCAGAGCTGAAGCTTCTTGAATGAGAAGCAAAATGTCTTCAAGAAGAAAAAACAAAGAAAATCCCAGTTGCCTTTTGAAAAAGCACTTTTGGGATTCCCTATTAAAATGACATTGGAAGAAGTAAAATCAATGACCAACAAAAACATATATGCTTCCATAATTACCTTGCAAATCTATGTGTTGGAGGCTGGGAGAAAACATAGGATCGAAATATAGAATTTGATAAAGATATGATTCCACTGATCAAGTAGTCTCCTGGCTTGTAGAAATTGAATTCCTTGTTTCCTTCTGTTAGCACTTTCAAGGGACATTTCATCACCATGTTCACATAGGGAAATTGGAGCAGAAGCAGAAGCAGAAAGAACCATACTTGTAGAAGCAGCAGCACTTGACCTATCATGATGGATATCCTTGCTATAATTCTATCTCTAGCACAGAGACCACTTATGAGGAAGATTTGCTCATAAAAGAGCACTACTGTTCTGAAGATGGTCCAGCTTGGCTCCAGAACTGGAAATGTAATATTCAACCTCAGATTAGCATAGTATGTCTAAACCAATTCCACCCTCTGCTCTCAGCACAGAGGATGTATTTATGGACCACGTTGTCAGGTTCTGCCTACGAGGAGTTTTTAATTATTTGTCATGTTGATTTCAAGGCTGAATAATTGGGAATGAAGGTGAATACATGTGTCCCAGGATAACGTTTCAGGATCCAATCTGGGTCAGTCACTGGGACCAGAGCTTTTGTTTTCTGAACTTTCTGACTTGTGCTGGAGCCCATCTTCAGATAATTAAATAATGATTGCTGTTAGTGGAAATCTCATAAACATTGTTGAAAATATGCTAAATTACCATGATTTCAATAATTGGAAGGAGAGTTGGGAATCACTGTTGCAACAAAGGTGTGCAGCTGGGGAAAATATGACTCATGTTATATGACTCATGGGCATAATTCCAGTTTAAAAAAGTTAACAATGCAGAAGTTAGACTTCTCTTTACTCAAGAAACTTATTCTTGAGACAATAAAGCCTGTCATATGTTAAAACAAATCAACAGATTGTTCAGTTTTAACTATCTAGCAGGGACATTACACTTCCTTACTCCATCTTGGTGTGGATGGGAATCTTCTTCCTAAGTACAGATTATTTCATTTTTATTCATTACGTTTATATGCCACCCATATTTCATCCCATAGTGTTGGATGATCTCACCCAACAGTTTTAGGTAAACGTAAAAAAGGAGTGGAAAGTGTACCAAGCTCTGTGATGCCCCATAAAAGACCAGTCAAGAGTAAAAATCTGGCATTCACGTGCCTTTTTGCTTTCATCTTGTCATTAGAGAAGTGGGGAGAGGGGAGATAAGGCTTCGACTGGGTTAGTTAGAGAAATGAAACCTTTCCAATTTTTTGGACGTTTGCTGAGAGAAGGTTGTCTGGAAACCTTTCAAGGACATTCTAGCAGGTGTGAAGAAGATAGAAGACGGGTCTCATAACAAAGAGAATTTGTTTACATGAGCTATATGGATATCTGGAGGGTTTGGCTGAGAATATCATTGTTCTATGTTCTATGTTGTATGTTAGTTTTCCTTCGCCTATATCATGTCATATATTCAATAAACCGGTAAGATTTTTCAGAAATGAAAGAAATCCTGGACTTTATTTTGATATTTGAGCTGGAGGTTGACAGGAGCAGCCATAGGCTGGGCCTCTCAGCCTCTATTAACACTAATTGGAACCAGCCATGGAGAAAGGAAACAAACAAGTGAATCATGATGCTGTCCAGTCCCAAATCCCATAGCTGACCTAAAAGGATGCCATGGTCAGTGATATTGAAAGCCATTGAGTGGCTTTCTTTCTTGAATTTAAGAAAAAGAAGTCTTCATCGATATGAGGGCAGAATGAGGAAGATTCATATTATTCCTACTTACCAGTTAAAAACTGATAAAAATGACAAAACCAAACTGTCAAAATGGAATGCATGAACACACAATTGAAACTCTGAATGTTATTATCACATGAAGGAAACAGGATGGACTCTATTCCATGTAGGGTGGTTTGTAGCAGCACCCAGATCTAAACTGTTCCTTTACCATATCAATCAATCAACTTCCTCTGCTACTGTCAATCACCAGGGAAATCTGGAGAATTATTGCAAGCTTAAGCTCTCGACAAATATCTAAGCTGCTTATGGTCAATGGAAATAAGTGGGAATTAAGTAGGTATTCAAAGTGGGCTGGGCCTAGATCTCTTGTAGAGATGTAGGGACTCATGACATGATGTGTTTGACCCCCTTCCTTGAGCTCAGCCTGGTCATCTCCTATATCTACTCCTACCAATACTCAGGTGACCGGAAACTCTGTAACACTGAGTCAGATGTTATTAAATAGTCATTGTCGTCTCTGCCAAGGCAAGAAAAAGTCCTCACATGGACATGCTGCTACCACTAACATCCAGTCAGAAATTGGGGCCAGATTCTCTAGATGCTCTGTGCTTCTTTGTCTTCAATAACTGATTGGTGGTGCCCACAACCCACACCATGTGCTGCCAATAGTTTCACAGAATTAAAATTCAAAGGAACAGCAAGGGACATCAGTTAAAATATGAAGATCAAATGAGAAGAAACAAAGCATGATTTGTAAGGAGACACTGACAAAAAGATCCACCATCATTGGCAACAGATGTTCATCTCACGTAAAAACTAGATCATGAAAGATTCCCAGTACCAGTTTATTTATATTGGTTTCAGAAAACATATATATTAGTTATGTGATTTTAATGTAATTATTTCACAGAATATTAATTCTGAAGATTACTTTGCCAGTTTCATTGCAGGTAATCCTCACTTAATGACAGTAATTGGGGCATTATTTCAGTCTCTAAGTGATGCAGCCATAAAGCTGATGTCATATATTACATCACTTAGTGGCACCAATCCTAACAATTAACATTGCTCTTGTTAAAATAGGATTATGGATCATTAAGAAAAGACACCACATCATATGAGCTTGATGTTTCCATCCAACTTCCCACACAAACTCAATGGGGAAGTTCCTTGGGCAAAAAAGTAATGTCAGCTTCTCTGCCTGCCTATTGATTTTGGTTATAAAAAGCTAGCAGGGAAGCTTGAAAATGTTGATCACATGACTATAAGACGCTGCAACCATCATGAAAGCCAGTTGTCAGGTGTCCAGATCACAATCATGTCATTTTGGGGTTACTTAAATGACTTTAATTTTTAGGACTGCTTGTTCAGCACTGATCTAAATTCGAACAGTCATTGTATGAATGGTCATTATCCAAAGACTGTCTGTAGCTAGCCATTATAACTCAGAACTCACACTGATGGACAAAGATTGTTTAAAACACCTAAAAAGGAGATTACTTACAAGGGATAATGTTTTATATCTGTAAGCTGTACAAAAATAGTTTCTAAAATCAGGAGCCTTTATAGTTTTTCATCATTAGGTGCTCCTTAGTGTTCAAATCAGGTCTCAGAATAATGATGTAGCATTTGGGAATAAAGATGCAGCCCAGTAAACCCAGGCTGGAGGCCAGGATGGAGAAGACCTGCACGGCTACCATGTACTTCCCTTTGGTGCTTAGGTAGGTGGGGACAAAGGAGATCCAAACACTGCAGAAAATCAGCATGCTGAAGGTGATCCACTTGGCTTCATTGAAAGTCCCTGGGAGTTTTCTGGCTAGAAAAGCCGCTATGAAGCAGATGATAGCCAGAAACCCCATGTAGCTAAGGGCACTGTAGAACATTGTAACTGAGCCTTCATTACACTGCAAGATGATCTGTCCTGGTTGGGAATGCAGGTCAAAATCTGGGAATGCAGGAGAAATTCCTAGCCATATAAGGCAGATGCCCACCTGAACCCCGGAACAGGACAAGACAATAGAGATAGCCAAACTCTTTCCCAGCCATTTCCTCATCCTGCTGCCTGGCTTTGTGGCCAGAAATGCCACCACAACCATGATAGTCTTGGCCAGCAATGAAGAGATGGCAACTGAAAAAATAATACTGAAGGTGGTTTGTCGAAGAAGACAGGTAACTTTCTTAGGTTGATCCATAAATAGAAGGGAGGTCAGGAAGGAAAGCAGGAGGGTGATTAAGAGTATGTAGGTGAGGTCCCGGTTATTGGCTTTGACTATGGGAGTTTCTTGGTACTTAATGAAGATTCCCAGAACAAAGGCAGTAGTTATGGATAAGGCAAAGGCAAAGAGAATCAGGATGAGACCCAAATTTTCTTTATAGGACAGGAAAGTTATAACCTTGGGGATACATTGATTCCGCTTCTTGTTGGAATGCTGATCATCTGGACACTTTTCACAATGGGCTGCATCTGAAAAACATTATTTAGCATGTGTCTATTTCTGTAGCTATAGGATTATAGCAAATGCAAATGAAATCAATTACTACTGCAATACATAAAACATGTTTTCAAAAATGATGGGGTGACAGACTATATTGACAGAAGTGGAGAACATATTGGAAAATTCTTATCCACCACACTTAGTCAAACTTTAGGAAATGTGAGAAAATATATTAATGAAGGATAAATCCTTCATAAATCCCTTTTATCTTCTCTACTATTCACTCTTATTGATATTATATTATATTAATACTATGTTGCTTTGCATGACATTGAGTGTTTCTGCACCAGAGATAAATTCCTTGTGATTCTATTCTATTCTATTCTATTCTATTCTATTCTATTCTATTCTATTCTATTCTATTCTATTCTATTCTATTCTAATTGATCTTTAAGTAATAGTGAAGAAGTGATATAGAAAATGGAGCTGAATATAACCTATTCCTATGGGTTGCATGAATAGTACACAAATTTACAATTTTGCTTTCATTAACTAAATTGTTGCTGGAATGCAATTTATTTATTTATTTATTTATTTATTTATTTATTTATTTATTTATTTATTTATTTATTTATTTATTGAATTTATATACCGCCCTATCTCCCTTACGGGACTCAGGGCAGTGAACAGGCGATAATAAAAACCATAATAAATATAGGCAGTTCTAAAATCAAATTAAATAAATTGTTGTCTTGTTACACTGCATATTTCATAATAGCAAAGGATGCACTCTGGGCTCTTACAACAAGTTTGCTCACTTGATTGTTCCAACAAAAAGTTTTTGTATATTGATTGAAATGATATTAGTTGGAATTTCTTAACATTTCCACTTCATGTTCATTATGGAGTGCGGCTCTTAGGACACCAAGTCTGACCTGGGGCTAGAAAAGAACTCATGCTGGAGCTCAGTGCCCCACCAGGGAGACCCACACCAAAATCATGTGT